AAGCATTCACACTTAAGAAGATTCTATAGGAGAGATAGCGTAATTCATTCAACATCTTCGAAAAATTGGCTCATCAGGAGTAGCCTTCTTCTCTGTCAGCAGTAACTCAGTGTCTCTTTCCAACCACATAAAAGTACACATTTAGACAAGCAGACAGAAGATAAGATCGTGTACTCTCCATGAGCTGCAGCATAAATCAAATTCACGGTAGAAATTTAGGTTTAAAAATCTTTCGAGTCTTAAAAAAATATTTTGGAGCCTGAAAGACATCCCGGGGTGGTCATAAACTTTTAGATAGAGAGATAAATATATTTGTGTGTGAGTATATGAGTGAGATAGTAACACTTAAATGGTAAGGTTAGCATGTTGGGGGTCCAAGGTTTGAAACGTAATGCTGCTGATCAGACTCCACGTTTTCTGCTGTAAGCTCGTTACAAAAGTGGCAGTCAGCTCATTTATTTGGTTTAAATAAAGTCTCACAAAACCATGGTGGCTGCTGATTAGTTCTCTCCTTCTTGTTTTGACCTGGCCGTTTAGCCCACGGGCATATAAAGTGTCATTCAGGTTTAAAATTTCAATTCCACCCATAAAAAAGTCTCAAAGAAAGAAAAGTGTTTATAAGGTAGTATAGATTATGTATGCCAATAAAAACGAAATGAATGTACGTTTATAGTCCCATCTTAAAATGTTAATGCAAATTAGACATTTTAGTTAGCATAACAACACTTTATGTATACAATAAATTACTAAATTTTACATGGTTTTATAGTTTTAATTCCTTTCATTTTACCATATATACCTGGTACATGCTCTCAGAAGTCGCAAGAATTTTAGGACTTTTGACAAAGTTCAAATGTTTTCAGAGTCGTAGAGTGAGACTATTTCTCTCAGTTATATAGAACAACAAGTGCATAAAGTTATCCCCTGTCCAATAGCCAAACTAAATTTGGAGTTCCAAAAAAAAACAATCACGAAACAGTGTATATACATGCAGATGTCACGTGTGATTTGATTACCTATACAGTTAACCTCCCAAAAAGTGTTATCGACTTTTGGAAAACCTTAATACCCCCTTTTTTGGGGGGGAGGGGTAATGACTTGAAGAATTTATACCACTCCAGAGGGATGGTCGCTTACCGTAATGGAGCACTACCGAGCCCCACCCCTAAGCAAAAAAATTTTTCCTCCTGCCCCCCCCCCCCTTCGCATTAAACTGAATCTTTTCTTTTTTCTTTCAATCCGTTTTGTAAGAACACACATGAAAGGGATTTATTTATTCCTAACAAATCTATAAGATTGCTCGTATATTTATTCTCAGCTATCTTGTTTGTATCCATTTTTCTTTGTAACAATGCAACCATAAGAAAATATGTTGACTAATAACTTATGTATTCTTCTCACCTCTGTTATCAGCTGCCAAGAGATTTTAATAACCCTGATATCCTGCCTCCTTCCATACACAAGGACAGTTATTAAGCATTGTATGATGAAATTATTCACATAAAGTTGATCTCTCATAACGTACGAGTATGCAGTATACTTTTGCATGGTGAATGTACTTTAAACATAGATTGTTACTGTAGACTAAGTATGTACACAACTATTTGGTGAATTGCAGTGCTGTGGTTGATGTTCTTGGATTAGAGTACAATAATGAGACATCTCGGTTGAATACACTAACATCTTGAAATTATTTTATTATCTTATGGATTTGGCTTACAAGATATCGACGTGACTTCAGTTCATTGTTTTACATATAGAGAATTTTTAATGCGAAATTTTCAATTTTGTATAAATTTATTAAAAGTTAAATTAATGCCTCACTTTTATATGTAAAAAATGGCTGATAGTAGTTTGAAGTTTATGCACCTTATGTGTGTGTGTGTGTGTGCAAGCGTTGTTCTGGGACGAACTTGTACCAGCTTTGATATGTTTTTCTTCATGGAATCAGTTTTTTTTTAAATGCAAACTTTATTCCACACAAAAGGTTTTAAGCTCAATAACATATTCAACAAACGAATACACTAAAGGGGAATATTAACTAGAATGTTTTATTGATTTTTCAAGTAACATTTGATTTTTCCTTCTTTTTTGAAGCCTGTGTTAGAGAAAAGCACTGCTTAGTTTTGTATTAATGTTAGCGAATTGTAACCAGTTTATCTAACTGGAAAGCATATGTATTCTGTAATGTCCTGGGTTTTGATTCAAGTTTGTGGAAACTTAATAATGAAAGATAGGAAAGTAGAGTGATTAGGGAGAGAGAAACGGAATAAAGGATGAAAATAATGCTTTCCAAGTCTTTTAAATGTACCTGTGGCTTTCTTTATATGCTAAATATTTTTCTTTGTGTTTTTTTAAGAGAAAAATTGTGGAGATATTGTAATCTACAATTAGTTAGTAAAAGCAAAAAATAAACGACAAAAATATATTGATTGCTTCTCTGTACCTTTAGATCCAGCATTTTATTGTTGTGACTGACTGCTTCTCTGTACCTTTAGTCCAGCATTTTATTGTTGTGGTTGACTGCTTCTCTGTACCTTTAGATCCAGCATTTTATTGTTGTGGATGACTGCTTCTCTGTACCTTTATATCCAGCATTTTACTGTTGTGACGGACTGCTTCTCTGTACCTTTAGATCCAGCATTTTACTGTTGTCTGACTGCTTCTCTGTACCTTTAGATCCAGCATTTTACTGTTGTGGCTGACTGCTTCTCTGTACCTTTAGATCCAGCATTTTACTGTTGTGGCTGACTGCTTCTCTGTACCTTTAGATCCAGCATTTTACTGTTGTGACTGACTGCTTCTCTGTACCTTTAGATCCAGCATTTTACTGTTGTGACTGTTGAAATCTAATTGAACTATTTGAATATTAGTTTACTAAAAAAACATACTTTATGTCACTCAGTGTTAAGCAGTTACTAACTTATCTTTTCAGTGAAAAGTTATATTTTATGAAAAGGTTTAAAGTTAATTTAATTCAAAAGTTGAGACTAACAACAAGATTGAATAACTGATGTCACATTTTAATGAAAAATTATGTTGTTTGATTGTTTGTCCCAGCAATAAAACTAAAAAACTCATAACAGTGGACCTATTTTACTATACAAGTTAAGGATCCAGTTTATAGAGAGAGATGTTTGTTTTTACAAGTCAGTAGCAATCAAAGGTATTCCAAAGTTTTATAGAAATTCTCATTCCTGGTAGATCCTTTAAGAGTGTTATTCATAAAGTTAAAATCACCTCTATTCTGTGCTGCTCTTTGGTTTTGGAGTTTAAGCAATATTACTGAAACCAGTTAAAGAATGTGTTGTATGCAAAATGCTTTTATGTTGTCATCACTTGTTTGTCATTAGAAAAAAGATCTTTAAAACTTTGATTTATCTTGTATCTCATTCCACCTCATCAGCCCTGCACTTTGATTTATCTTGTATCTCGTTCCACCTCATCATTCCTGTACTTTGATTTATCTTGTATCTCGTTTAACCTTGTCAGTCCTGTACTTTGATATATCTCGTATATCATTCAACTTCGTCAGTCCTGTTTCCTTTCAGGAAGATCTTTGTTTGGTAGGTATAGTGTCATGAACTCACTGCTCATTTCGTGTCAAGATGTATTCAAGATACAGTAGCTACATACATATTCTCCCTATTTTCCTGCATAGAGATTGTGGTATTTTTTTCTGTAACCCATAAGAGGATATGATAGCAATTCATTCATACCTAGTTTGTAGCTATGGCATAGTGGCTCACAGAACGGCTTTTAATTTTTTTTCAAGTACAAACTTTTACGTCATAGCTCTGTCATCTCTTGACCAGTTTGAGATCTAATTACAGTTTTGGACTCCAGATGTCAAACCCTTTTGATGTATTTCACCATGCCTAAGGTCTCATAGATTAATTTATTCTAATCCTGCCTAAAAGAATTTCAATTTTAGGGTAGGCGTGTGGAGATCCTGATGGGTACTAAAATTGAATCGGGTATACGTACATGCCCATATTTGGTATTGCTGGCACACAAAAATATAGCTAATAAAAAGGGAAAAAGGTCTCGTAGATTAAT